GACCCTTCGTCTTCCACCTCCGGCGGGGGCACGGACAAGGACGGCAATGCCCCGATGTCGGGCAGCAGCAGCACCCACTCCTCGGTCGAGAAGCCTCCCGACAAGCCGTCTTCCTCTCGGATCGCAAGCATCCTCAGCGGCAGCAGCAACCACGGCGGCAGCTCCAACACCACCACCACCAACAACAACAACAAGGCGTCCTCCCTGTTCGGCCCGCTCCTGGACATGAAGGGCAGCAGTAACAGCAGCGCGCCGGGAAGCCCGGACTCGCTCGCGGCGGCGGCGGACGCCCGGGCCCTTGCCTTCGCCGTCGATGGCGGCGGCGGAGGAGGAGGAGGCGTTACTTCCTCCAAGAAGAAGGTGAAAGACCTGAAGCTCCGGCCGTCGGGGACCTCGCGCACGCTGCGGCTCAAGAAGCAGGCGCAGTTCACCCCGTCGCCGTCGGAGTTCAAGTCCCGGGAGAGGCAGGACGTCGTGGGTGAGTCAGATGTGGTGGTGTGCGTTTTTTCTGTTGCATGTTTTGATGTGTTGGGATCGTTCTACGCTGCCGCAGAAGAGGGGCCACGGACCGGCTCCACTGCTTGGGCATGTTTCAAAGGTGTTCTAAGACTCTTCTTCGGCGATGGTAGAGCCAAGCGCTTGGCGCCTATCCATTAGGAAGCAACCGAAGAGTACGTCCAGCATGGAATGCGAGCATTAGCGCCCCGGGCCTGTCTTTCAGCACTGCACCACACTGCGCAAGGCAGCAAGCAAGAGCCGGGTTGTGCCCCCACGCATAACCCATCTCTGGACCCCATCATACGCACGTTTGCACCCACGGATCGAGACGCTTGTCCCCCCCCCCTACCCTGTCTCTCGTCCCCCCCCGTTCCGTCAGACCAACCCTTCTGTGGGGTGTGCGCGGCGCCGTTCACCCTGATGATGAGGCGTCAGCGCTGCGCCGTCTGCGCGGATAGCGTCTGCGCGCCGTGCTCGAGCGACAAGCGTCACGTCGAAGGTGGGCGCTGCTCGTACGCTGTTGTTGTTGTTGCCGTCATTGACGACAACCGTCCAGAACCTAGCGGCTTTCGGCGTAGGGAACACGTCATTATTTCGGCAAACACTCGGGCCGCTCGGGCCTTTTGATTCACACTCCCGGTGTCCTTGTTTCGAGCAACATTCGCTCGAGTTCGTCGCCAAGCGAGTCGCGAGGCTGCCGGACAACAACTGTGATTGATTCCCCCTATCTATCTCTCTCTGCGGCTTTGTACAACAGTTCGAAGGCCTGCATGCGCATCGTCTCTTGCTGGTGTTCTGGAGCCGTTCACAATTGCACCCGACAGCCCCAGTAGCGGTCCCTCCTTCCTGATGGCAGAGTTTGTTGCTCGGGAGGCCTAGGCGTCCGATCTTGTCATTTGTGCCTCGTTTTTGTTTCGACCCCCGACTGGTCCGCTCGTTTGGTGTCGACGAAATACCCGCGCCCCGTAACCACCGTCTGCAATATTCTACGGTTCAATATCCAGGTCAAAAGGGCCTGCAGCGCGTGTGCGACATCTGTATCGTGGAGGGACCGGTGGTTCTCGACGAGAACGGCATGTACGCGGCCAGCCCTTCCCCCGCCGCCACCCCGTTGCCCATTGGCACCGCCGCACCCTCCGCCGCCTCACCCGCCGCCGCCGCTGCCAACCAGTCGGTTGCCGCGGCCGCGCAGCCCCGCCCGACCTCGTCCTTGTCCGGGGAACGGGAACGCTCATCACCCGCTCCAACTGCGGCGGCGGCGGCGGCGGCGGGAGCGTCAGGGGGGAATTCGTCATCGTCATCGTCCTCCGCTTGGTCGATGGCGACGAAAAGGTCGTCTTCAAAGGGCGTCGCCGCCGCGGTGCGGTCTCTGTTTTCGGATTCTCAGCCGACGTCGTCCGGCAAGTCGCCGCCGTCCGCAAAGTCTTACGCCGCCGCTGCCGCCGCCACTGCCGCCGCGGCCGCTCCGCCGCCGAGCACGGCGGGGAACCCCAAGGCGCCCGTTGGAAACGGCGGGGTCGTCACCAGTAGCTCCGACCGTTCTTCCTCTGCCGCCGCCGCCCGCCGGCCCACGGCAGCAGTCAAGCCTCGGAAGTCGCCCGTGACGGCGACGGTCAAGGCGGCCGCCGACGCGGCCAAGCTCCGTCCCAAGTCGCAGGCGGGGGCGGCGGCGGCGGCGGCATCGGCGGCGGTGACGTTCAAGCCGCCCAGGTCGCCCGTGACAGTGACGACCGTTGCCAAGGGTAGCGGCGGGCACAGCATGAGCGGCGGTGGTATTCGTGGAGGCGGGGGTAAGGGCACCGCCAAGGAATACTTCAGCAACGCGGCGGCGGCGGCTGCGGCGGCTGAGGGAGATGAGGCGGTGACGATTGAGCCGGAAAGGGGCCACGAGGGAGCCGCAGCCAAGCAGGAGGCCTCCGTCGCCGTGGAGGCGGAGATGCGCGCGGCCGCCGGAGCGGAAGCGCTTGGCGATGAGGACGACGGGGAGGCAGAGGTAAGACGTTGTGGTGGTGGCTTGGTTGCCCCTGTCATGGTTGCCAAGGAACCTCTCCCTTAGGATGTTGTGCCGAGTTGGCTGGCTGGCTGGGGCTTTTCGAGAGAAACTCTTTTTTGGATTTTACTTGTGAGGAATAATGCTACTAGGATTGTTGTGCAGCCGAGATGTATTGGGGGGTAGGTGAAGGTGCGGTCGCCATCGTTGGTACGGTCCGTCAATCGGCGATCCAAGTCCTGTGCAGGTGTGAAGTCCACCTTCGTACAGGTACAATCTCCCCAACGCCTGTTGAGGACGATTCCCTCTTTTCACACAGGCGGTTATTATTAAAAAAAACTTCGGAGCTACTGTGTAATGCGCCAAAATATTTTCTCAACCTTCTCGATCCCTTCATTTGCGTCTTTTTTGCTATGATTTATCTTTTCGGACAGCAGGGGGGTCCGCCGTCCTCCGTCTCCAACACCTCCAAGGGCCGCAAGCGCGGGAAGAAGGCTCGCCGGGCCGCCGCTGCCGACTCGAAGACTCCGCGGGACAGGAGGCAGCATTCTTGGTCGGGCCAGGTGAGCTAAGGCGTGTGTGGGATTTGTTTTTGTTTGTTTGGGCCTTGACTTCAAGTCAGCGCTCACGGGGTTTGTGCCGTTTACTCCAACTCGTGGTCACACAGAAGGGTTTCTCTTCCTTGAGGCCCCCCTAGACATCCCTCCTGCGGCGCTTTGCTTCCTTTTTTCGATGCGAGTGGAATACAGCACTTTCTGTCCTCTGCGTGCACTAGATTTCCATTTTTTCGCGGTACGGAACGGGTTGTGTTTGGGTGTTTTGGGGGAACCTGTTTTTTCGTGGTGCTGGTTAATTGGTTTGTTCGGGGACCTTGTATTTTTGTGGTGCGGTTTTGGCGCGGCGGTACAACGCGTGTCGGTAGATCGGTCGGTGCTTCGTTTGGCTTTGTGCTATTCTGGGACAGGAGATTGCCTCCGTGGTCTGGGAGGGTGGGTGGCTAGCATCGGCGTTCTCTTATCGCTGTGGTTCTGGGATAGGCTTGCGTTCAGTGGTACGTTGCGCAACGAGTTGAATCTCGCGTCGCAGCGTCTTTGTACCTGATATCGCGTTACGGGGATGTGTGAGAATACCAACGAACGCCTCCCGGGTCTTGGTTGACGATAGTATACCTCCGTCGTGTTTGGTGCTTTTGTATGTGTTGACGGCGTCTCCTTTTGACCACGTGAATGCGATGTCCCGTGCTGCGCGGAGGTGGAAGGGGGGCAAACATGCCCTTGATTCCCGTCTACACTTGCCTCAACCATATTTCCGTTTCTCATACGCCCATCTTGTAGCATCCATCGTTTCTGTGCATGACCGTGTACCCGAACCGCGTTTGCCTTGCCAACTTGAACTTTGAAATGAGGCTTCCTGTCCATCACCAGTTTTAAGTTTCGTCCAAGGTTTTGCTCTCTTGGCAGTCGTGTAATGCATCGTTACCCCAACTCCCCGTCATCCTTGTCACGTCCAGAGCTTCAGCGACTACGGCGGAGGCGTCGGCGGCAACACCCCGGGAACGAGATCCTCCAGGTCCACCCCCCCCAGCAACGGCGGCAACGACTTCTCCCACGCCGGCAGCGGCGGCGGCGGCGGCGGCGGCGGCGGCGGGGCGGGGAACACCGCCCCGGTTTGCTCCAACGCTGTGGCACTGGCAGGGACAGCGTCAATAGCGGCGGCGACTACGGCCTCAGGAGGCGGAGGAGGGTCGAAGGGAAAGTGGGAATCTGTGGGAAGACAGAGGCGTTCTGCTGGCTCGGGAGGAAGCGAGGCCGGGATCAGCGACGACGGGCCGCAGGCGGAAGGGGTCGGGGGGGAAGGGGGAGCGGCCAGCGCGTTCGTGATGGACTTCATTCGCGGGGCCGGGATACACCGACTCGATCCCCGACGCATCGGGGGGGAAGGCGGCGCGGTTAGCGCCTTCGTGAAGGACTTCGTTCGCGGGGCGGGGATACACCGGCTCGATCCCCGTCGCCTGTCCGGTGAGAGCAGAGTTGTTATTGTGTTTGCGTGTGTTGGGATGCGCGTGTTCCGTGTTTTTCGGCGGTTCTGTTTGCTGCATGTTCACACGTTTTCGGCGATCATGTTTTCTTTCGGATGAGCGCGTTCGTATTTTGGGCATGTTGCAAGACCGCGTTAAATAGAGTTTGTTGCAACGAAGCGCCTGTTCGGGGGCCCACACCCTGGCGTTTAACTCGTACTTTTTATGTACATTCCTGTGCGCTATTCAACGAGTCTGTTACGTTGTGTTAGATTCTTCGACGGTGTTAACCTGGTTTTCTCGCCTTCGACTACGACTGTACTGTATCATCTTTGCGTGAGGTGGTGTAACGCGTCTTGTGTGCGTGTGTTGGCAGACGAAATGCCGCCCAAGGCTATTCCACTGGAATTATTTCACGCATGAAACAAGTCCTTCATTTAGTCGGCAACTTGTCGCGAACTCGCTTCCACCCCCCTTTCCCTCCACTTGTCCGGTTCTTGCTCGTCACCCCGGCCCCAGACCAACTAACCCTCGTCGTCTCTTGGACGGGCCTCGACCGGGCGTGGGCCGGAGCCTGGGTGCTCATCCGCAAGCTCCTCCAAAAGCTCCTCGAGATGAGCCAAGAGCGCGGCCGCTGCGGCAACGGCGGCATGGGCGGACGGTCCCGCAAGGGGGGAGGGGGGGGGGGCAGGAGCGGCCATTACCACCACTACGTGGGCGCGGCGGGGTCGCACCAGCAGTGGCAGCGCCGCTGGAGGCCCGGCCGACGCGTCGCGGCGGCGGCGTCCCTGACGTTGCTGGCGTCTTATCGTCGCTACCAGGTAAGAATAGTGTCCAGGTTCTGGTTTCGGCACGGGCGGGCGGTGTTGGTGTGGTTGCCGGTTGGTGAATTGTTTGTGTTGCTGTTGTTGCTTTGGTGGTGCGATGCGAACGGAGGTGCCTCGCGTATCTCTTCGAATAGTAAACAATGCCTGCGAAGCATCAAGGAGTGTTTAACGGGATCACCCGCTGGGGTGCTCGTGCGTCACGCGTGTGTCGGAGTTTCGTGGGATGACCCGCAAAACAGTCCGCGTTGCTCTCGCGTCTCTCGACGGTCGATTTTCATCGTTCAACCACGCAAAACCGTGTCGTTTGTCAAAGTGACACTGACGGTGTTGACAACGCCAACCGCGTTCGTGGGCGTTGGTCATGTCAGTATGTCGCAGTCGTGGCATCCGTGACGTGACGACTAACCTCTCGTCGTTTTCGTTGTTTCTATCCAATCTTGGCCACTTTACCTACGCTGCATGTGGGAGACGCACACTCGAGAGGTCTCAGAACGGTACACGCTGTAGAAGCTACCTCGCCCATTGATAAAGTACACCGCCATGTCAAAGCCCGTGTCTGTCTGTATGGATGTCTGTCTGCCTCTGCCTCTGCCTCTGTCTCTGTCTCTGTCCCTGCTTCTGCCTTTATCTCTGTCTGTCTCTGTCTGTCTGCAATTAATCTACACTTTGCCGGACCCCCCCCCCCCCCCCCCCCCCCCCCCCCCCCCCCCC